TATAAAAAATTATACATACAGTCATGGAAAGCGAAGAGGGAGAACATGAGAATGCAGATTAGAACTATTTTTGATGATTTCATGGTTTTGATGTCTCAAAAGATGATTTTTATTGTTTTACTGAGTTGTTGTAATTTGTAATACAAGACTTAATATATATATATTGAAAGTTTAAATATGGAAAATTACTAAATAGATAGGAATGTAAGAAACAAAAAAAAAAAACGTTGACTAAAGAAATAAATAAGGAACAAAATCAACATGTTCTAAAAAAACTTGAAACTTGGACGGCATATATTAGAGGACTTTGATCTAACGGTAGATGGTTACCTCAAAAATTACATCAATTTGGTAAAACTAATATTAAATATATAGTAATATAAGAAACAATAAATAAAAACTTTTGACCAAGAAAACAAACAAAATCTATATGTTTTAAAAAAGTTGAAATGTGGACGGCATATATTAGAAGACTTTAATGTATCTGTAGATGTTCACCTCGAAAATCATGTCAATTTGATAAAAACATGGGTTAGTTAAATATCTATGCCCAGACGATCCGAAAATTAAGTATCTATGCATGAAGATCACATAATTAAACCTCTCTCTTCCCTGACAGCATTTAAGACGAAAACACCCCTACAAAACAGAAAACTTGTTAACTGCGTATAGCATAGGTACGACATCATTAAATGCTAACGATATCTTTGAAAATATATCTCCGCCGACATTGGTAATATAAAGATACGGTAAAAAAAAATCATCAAACACCTAACACCAAACGAAATTTGTAAATAATCATCAAACACCGAACAACAAGTTTCGATTGATAACATTGTTAGTCGATAATACGACTAGCTGCTAACTAAAATAAGGCAGATATTAACTTAAAGCAGCTTTTAAAAACATTCATACAAACAACATTCACGTTTTGCTAACAGTAGTACCCCAATAAGACGTTAGTGGCTAACTATGACCATGTTATTACCTTAAAAATTAATAACTATTCATCAAACCCAAGACAACAATGTCTCCATGTATTGATAACAATGTTAGGCGATAATTCGGCTATCTATTAACTATAATCAGACATATTTTTACTTGCAACTTTTAAAACATTAATCAAAACAACATTTCTGTTTTGATAACAATAGTATCCCGATAATACGTTATCTGATAACTACGATAATGTTTTCACCTTGAAATTTGAAAATAATCATCCAACACCAAACAACAAGTTTCGATTGATAACATTGTTAGTCGATAATACGACTAGCTGCAAACTAAAATAAGGCAGATATTAAATAATCAGGCTGGTTTGTTCAGAAACTCCAACAGGCGACCGAGAGAAGACCGAGATATGTACTGCCGTTCATCATCGTCGAGGACATTGATGATACCACACACCGTTTTCATCTTCTAATAAACATTATCCCTCTCGCCGCGAGGTTCTTCACCAAAAGCTATCAGACGCGGAGAAAGCAGAATCGGTCTCATCTGTTATGGAAAAAATTGCATAAACCCTAGTTAGATAACGCAAAACATGTCGTTGAAACACAAATCAAACGAAAAAATGGCAAATTGATTACCAGAAGACAAAGCGAGATCAATAAAAACCCAGATCTGAGAAATAAACACTTGCTCGAGAATCAGAAGGAGAGAAAGAAAATAAGAGAGAAAAAATTTTGTGGTGTCGTTTCCTTTTTTTTACAGTCCCAAAACGCCGACTCTGTCTCTTCATATAGGAAGCAAAGAACACGACTGTTCGTTTCTCGCAAAAAAAATATATATAAACACAACTCCCAAAACAATATCTACACAATATCTCCTCCTGCCGTCTGACATAATTTCAACCTATAATCTATGAAGTTTCTAATATCATAATATAGGGGTACATGCGTCTTTAAAAAGTGAACAGAAGCAAGAGAACAGTGCAACTTTACAAGACTCAATTATGCATTCGTCTATGCATATCCAATGGTATTTTCCTAAAAACATTACTAAATATATAGTATAGGAAACAATAAATAAAAAAACGTTGACCAAGAAAATAAATAAGAAACAAAATCTACATGTTTTAAAAAAACTTAAAACGTGGATGGCTTATATTAGAAGACATTAATCCAATGGTAGATGTTCACCAAATTAGATCTAAAACACTATAAATTGAGGTTTTTGTTTTTCATTCTTCTTCCCGCTTACATATCAAAAACTATTCTCTGTTACATCCTTATTTTGTTCATAATTTCATTAATTCTTTAAAACTTTTATGAAAAATTATCCTTTCTCTCCCTTTCTATTGCTTACCATTTTTTTCAAAAACCTTAAGTCTCGTTCTAGTCTTTGAAGTAGTGATATGAACATGTTTTCTCTCCTGCTTTTTGTTTTATATTTTAGAAATACAAATTTTCATTTTTCATCTTCATTATGTGATAATCTGAACCGTTTCTTTATATATTGTATTTATGTTATAACTTTTTTAAAAAAAAATTTGTATCGATTGGAATCATATATTGATCTTTTATTTACTGACCTCATGGGAATGAATTTTTGTGTCTCATATACTTATTGAATTTGAACAGATGACAAAGATGAATTATGTTTTCGCATTAAACTTGTTTGTTTTTTATGTGAAAAATGTTTTACTATTGACACCGTATGGATATGAAGGCCTGGGCAAAATAACCGAACCACAAGAACCGAACCGGAACCGAAGCAAAAAGAACCGAACCGGAACCGAACCGAAATTTTAAAATACTTAAATGGATCCTAAATTTTAAAACCGAAAGAACCGGAACCGGAACCGAACCGAACCGAAATATTTCGGATACCCAAAAATACCCGAAATATGAGTTTATATCAGAAAATATTAGTTATTTTTATATCGAATAGCCAAAAATACCCGAAATACCAACAAATATTTAGAAAATATATCAAAAAGTACTTAAAATATCCAAAAAAATACTCAAAAATATCCGAAAATACCCAAAAATATCCAAATTACCTAAAAATATCTGAAAAAAAATCCAAATGGATCCTAAACTTCAGAACCGAAAGAACCGGAACCGGAACCGGAACCGGAACCGAACCGAAATATATAGTTTGGTTCCTATATGGATCCTAAATTCTAGAACCGAAAGAACCAGAACCGAATAGGAACCGGACCAGAACCGAACGGGTACCCGAACGCCCAGGCCTAGATATGATTATGGAATTTCTTGTGAAGGACATGAGAAACTGGGAAGATTGTTCAAGGCCCATCATAGATAGAAATCTTCTTATTTTTATCATAGGGATGCACCTCGCCTCTCATGACTCTCATTTCATCATTCTCATTTCTTATACTAGATTATGTACCCGCGCGTTGCGCAGGGTTTTAGTTAAATTTTTTTTTATCGATACGAATCTTTAAATTTTAAAAAATTTTACTTTACTCATTTTCATTACCTTTCCATAGTAGTATATATATTTTCACAGTTTTTACTACAACTTTTTCTTGTTATCTTCTATGATTCACTCGCCGTCTCCTAACATCTACTCTCTTTTCACCTTATATTGGCTTACATATAATATACTCGACTATAAATAAGTTCTCAAAATAGATCGTATATATTTTTTCATTCATATCTTCAATACTCATATTTTTTTTATAAGTTGCATGATCTTTTTATTAAAGTGAACATTAAAAAATCTCGGAAGATAGTTGTCATATAGTTTCTTTGACCATGTTTGGTGTATGTAAATTGCTTTATGGAATACAAATCTCATACATTAACTCATTCATATTCACAAACATCAGATTTCAACATCAAATTTTTCACTTTATCTTGACCGTTTGAAAAATACAAAAAACCAATTCACATATATAATTTGACGTATATTATGATTTTATATAGTATTCTTAAGGTTAATTTTCATAACATAACTTACGAACACATATAAATCATTCTAATTTTAAAATACATTTTTTAATCCTTAATATTTACTTCTAATTAAAAACTCTCATTATACTATTGCTATTCTAATTTCCAAATAGCATTCGCAAATATTATTATTACACAATTTCTTATTCGATTGGATTATTTTATTTTTATTCATGATGTTTAGAATAGTTTTTGTTTTATTTAAAATCACCTTAAATTTTTTGATCTATGCTAAAATTTCATAAACACTGATTAATATTTAGTTTTTCATTTTTTAGGTAATTCATTTGATTTTTTAAAAAACCCACCACTTTTTAATTTAGAAAACACTGATAATATAGAAAATTTTATTAATGTAACTATTTGTATTATATTATAATTATAAATAATAATATGTACTCAATCCTTCTTATTTTTAGTCAGTATCATGAATTGATACTTTAACATTAAAAACTTTTTCTATTTAATTTAATATATTTTTAAGTCTTATTTTTATTCTACTAAATAATTGTAACTCTTAAAATGATTGTTTTATCATTAAACTATATGATACGTTTCTTTTTCATATCTCTAGTCATTTAGGAGTAAATTACTCATTATATATTAAGATAAAATTATCTAATTTTATGTTTATCCAATCTCTATTCAAAAATTTCATATTTTGTGTTAATATCTTTTTCGTTTTTTAAATTTAATTTATTATATTGTAAATTATTATTTTTTGTTTAATGAAATATAATAATATAAATTACAAAATGTGTGAATTAATTATAGTTTTAATGATTTTTGTTTTAATAAATAAAATATGTGTAGCCCACACAAAAATAGGATGACTTGGATGATGATGTGGACACCCTAGATGGAGAGACAACTCTCCTATTATATGTAAATTATTTTTTTTTGTTTAATGAAATATAATAATATAAATTACAAAATGTGTGAATTAATTATAGTTTTAATGATTTTTGTTTTAATAAATAAAATATGTGTAGCCCACACAAAAATAGGATGACTTGGATGATGATGTGGACACCCTAGATGGAGAGACAACTCTCCTATTATATATATAGATTAGAGGTCATAAAGACACTTTTGTTGGAGCAAAAAAAGTGACTAAAGTCATTTACCAGAACAAGTCAACAATCAATCGACCTTGCATTTATAAACGCATGCTGTTATGGCCAATACACCTCCAATGATAAGTCCTAATATCGCCATTGCCAAGACTGCCAAATCGAACCAAACAACGTATATATCAGTACTTAGCAACATTCTTTCATCCGGACCAACCGAGTAACATTAACAGTGAGGAAGAATGACATACCAGCAATGGTGAAGTAGATGAGAACTGCCAATCTGTATCTGATCAGTCCTGGTAATTCAATTTCGAGTGTGCAATATCGTTGGGACTTTCCCTTTCTTGTTGCATCTTTCAAAGAATTCGAACCTCCTGGTTGGAGTTCGGATAATGAAACATTTGTGCCTAGTACTGTGTGTCCGTTAACATCTCTGATCTCGAGCCTTATGATAACCGGATTTGCATTCCAATCTATAGATATCGCTCCAAAATTTTGTTGTCCTGCAAGTAATTTTAAGATATTGTGACCAATGTAATCCTCAACGGAGCATCTTTGCTTCTCCGTTAAATTACAGAGATGATAGTGTACACCATTTCTATCTGTTATTAAACAAACAAAAATCGAATTGCATAGGTGATAGTAACAAATCTATCAAAATGTTATCTTATTCCAATTCACCCAAAACAAAGACACCAAATTGATGAAAAGACTATCAACCTTATAATCCAGGCCTCACTAGCTGCTTTCTAATAACCTTACAACAGCTACAATCTGCTATATTCAGTCCTAGGCTAGTTATAGTAGACCTATAGCTAAAGTTTAAGTAGCCTAGCTTCTTAAAGGAGACTCCCTGTATCTTGGCTGCTTGTACTATAGATTTTTTGGAAAGTTGAAAAGAGATGGATAACAATGTAAGACCCTTAGTTCTGTTTAGTTATCACGAAAAACATAAAAGGAATCAATTGAGAATAATACCGTATGTGCATGATTTGAATTTGCAGTTATCATTGATAACTCTCATCGTGCTTGGGGTATACCAAAATAGAAGCCTAAAGATGGAACGCAAGGGACGAGGGAAAACTTTCTCAACAGATTGTACTAGACCACTGGAGGTGACATCATATAATGGGTACCCAACAGAACAATCGTATCTCGTGATTTCTCCAAAATGAACATCTCCACTGATGAATATAACTCCATTTCTCTGTAATATCAAAGCAGCGGAGAATTATTGCAGACGAGGAAAGAAGAAAACTGACAGTTGGAAACATTACTGTCAACAATCCCGTACCTTAGTGTCTGATATCAGTTTGAAAAGACGTTTCCTTTCCTTCGGAAAACGGCCCCATGATTCCATATAAAAGAGTGGTCCAGTGGTAGCAGAAAGATTTGATATCACCTGGACAAGTTAAGAGACAACATTTCTAGATGGAATAAGAGACTCAGCTTTATCAAGTTTAAGTTTATAGCCAAAATGGAACCAGAAACAAAAGTTTGATACTCTGCTGTGACAGTGAGGGACAATAAGTAAAAATGGGTTTTCGATAGATAGAAAATAAGTTACAGAATACCTGAACAGATGATCCAATGATAGTGATTTCGCTCCGCGGACCTCTCAGTTCTTTTTCGAGCCAGTCCCACTGCGTATCACCCAAGATACTCCCGTCACTTCGCAAAGGGTCTCTATGATATCTAGTATCCAAAACTATAACCTGCAGGAGATATAAAACTCTGTTAAATCACATATAAGCTCTTCCTTCAAAAACTACCACAGAAGACAACAACTGCATTGGACTTTCTGATGATACCTTAACTTTCCGATTAGGCGGACCATAAGTATAAGATGCATAAACTCCAGCTTGCTTTCTCCTCGGGCTATCAAGAGGCTCATCCAAGAAATCAAGCATGAGTTTTTGGTTAATGACTTTACGATCAAACTCTTTTCCGGCGTCATTCAATCCGTAATCATGATCATCCCAAGTACCAATAACCTTAACCTTTCTCTGAAGATGAGAATATCCAGGATTAGCTTTGGCTTTAGCGTATCTCAATTTCATTTCTTCCTCTGAAGAAGGCACAAACCTCGGTGTATTCTTCCATGGCCCAAAGGTTCTCTCTTTCCCAATGACTCTAAGTGGTCTTCTAATATCTCCATAGATGTTATCTCCCAACCAAATGAACAGTTGCGGATCAAACTTGTTTATAGCATCCCATATTGGCTACTTAAACAAAAATCATAATCAAATTCGAATCTAAAGTAGTCTTAAAACACGAAATTACGAATCAACTAGGATTAATTTTACCTGTGGAGCGCTTTGGTTAGCGCATGAGCCGAAGGCGATACGAGTGATCGGAGTCTCTTCTGCAGCAACCGCCACCGTAAAGAGCAAAGAAAACCACCAGAAGGAGAGGCGGTGGTGGGAATTGGGCAACGAAGAGAAAACCCTAGAAGCAATCATGGAACAGGAAACAGATTTGGGTTCTTCTACGTTTTTGGAAAACAGAATCGTTTGCAGTTACCGTTGGGAGTTTGATAGAGAGATTAAACTTGTCACTTTTACGATTTCACTGCTTTTTTCTACTTTCTTCTCCAGGCTTGCATTATAATAATATATGTTTTTTTTTTCAGATGAATTTTTTGTTCATTGGTATTTGTAATGTGATGAATCTTTATGGGTTCCACTGTTTTATGTTTTACTACATACAAAAAGTGAATGTGCAAAATATATAACCATTTATTCGAATAAATCTCATAGTTTTATCAAATTAAAACTGCAGATTTTTTTACTTATGCACAATGATTTTTTTCTATTTTTTTCTAATAAGATAAATTACACTAAAAATAAAAAATTTACCTATCTTATTATATAAAGTGTAGTTTTCAAAAGTTAGTAACTCATAGGATCGTGCCACGTATCAATTTTATCGATCTCAGATTTTAACATGTGTAAAATAAAATTTTCCTTTCATTAATTTTAAAAGTATAAAAGGATAATTGTAAGAAATTATAAATTTAAACAATTTCAAATATATAAAAAGATCATTAAAAAGTAACTATACTTATATATCTTACATAAAAAATGTAAAAAAATAATTATAAGGAAATTGTATGTATCTTATTATATAAAAATAGAAATTAGAAAATCATTTACCTATTTTAATTTAAAGTTACTATTCTAAAAGAAAAAGTATCACTTTTGCATTCAAAATTACAGAGAGATTTTAAAAATTATACAATTAATAATGACGGTTAGGATAACGAACTTGAAACGCGGAGACTTTACTCAAGCCGACATTCTCGCTTCCGCTTCGTCCACCGCCGCTCGCGCGGTTGCTTCCCCCTAAATAAAATACGATAATTAAGAAAATTACACAATCAATTATTAATCCCAAAATAAAAAAAAATTCTAAATACTCACCTTTATACAAGAAATTTCTTCAAAAACACCACCATTGCTTCAACTTCGTTCTAAAGATAAAGCAATTTTTTTTGGAAAAAATTTACTATCCAGAGGTCATATGTTCTATTTTAATATCTAGATCATACGTTATATTGATGCCTATTTGTCACAACTGTATTAAGAGGCTAATCTTTGTCAATACATTTTTTAACTGTTCATATGTTTATGTAACTACAACCAGTGGTAAAGAATATACTTCAACATTAAAAAATAATTAGATGACAAAAACATTTAGTAGTAAAATAAATAGTAAATTTGTTAATAGATGTAAATAATCAGGATTTAACATGTTGTTTGTATCTAAAACATTTTCTAAGAAAGTTGTTAAATTATTTTTGGCGAAAATACAAAACTACGTTTTGGCAATAATAATAATGATAAATATTTGACAAAAGTTTGGTGTTTGATAGTTGAAATTACTAAACTATTATAATAAACGTTACAATAAATTTAAAGTATACAAATGCAAATTAATGTATTAAAGCAAAAGAATGAATATATAAATAATTTTTTCTCTAAATAAAAAATTATATATATTTTTTAATTCTTAAAGATAATTTCTATTTATAAGTTATAACCAAACTTAATTTTAATTTAATTTATTTTTAAATTTGATTTTAGTTAAAAAAAATAAACTCGTCCAGTTTATTAATGAGATATTGACACAAGTCAAATCTAATTTTTTTAATATATTTACAAACAATTATATAAAATATGGTTTTCAAAGTTAGTAATTCATAAGATCGTTCCACATATCAAGTTTATTAATGTGATATCGATACATGTCAAATCTAATTTTGTTAATATATTTTAAAACATAAATAGAAAATTTCTTAATACGATCGAAAAAGAGAAATATCAAAAAAAAAAATTAGTTTAGAATAAAGATAACTACAGTGTGGATGTAGGATTCACATTCGATTGTCTTTAGGTATTTTAGTGGAGAAAAACTCTTAGAATCAACAAATGAATATGAGAATTCGAAAGGGAAATTAACCAAGAAAAAAAATAAATAAAGGAATTTGATAAGAACGAAGTACAAAGGCCTTGCGAAATTGTAAAAGAAAAAAATATGTTGTATTGCTTGGTAGTAGTCAGTATAAAGATTGTCTCCCCCCAAACACATGCGTTTGAGGTTGTTTTTATAGAGAAAACATGATTAATGCGGTCATTCACTGTACATAATTATATTGATCCGCATTAATCATGTAAGTTACAATTTTGACCGAAACGGTTTGAACTTGAACCGTCTTAGGCTTCACGTGGGCCTTCCGAACTCTTTCTTGCTGACTCCGAACTCCCGTGCTTTGATGCTACCGCGAGCCTCGAACAACATTCCCCTCGCTTCAGCCTTTCTCTATGCGAACTGTATGTTGAATAAGAGCGAACCCCATACTGGTAAAGATCGAACCCTTTTAGTAAGCTGAATCGAACTCCCAACTGGTCAAGTCCAATAAAGTATCCAGAAATCCGAGAGGATTATTATGTAATAATGACGTGGACAGATCCAAGTGGATCCTACCGAAAATGTGTGGGATCCGACCCCAACATTTAGCCCCCCAAGTCTTGCGAGCCGAGTGCTCGGTTTGGAAGACTTAAGTAAATAGTAATTAATGACTCGAGATCTTTAACATTCTGGAATTTCTCCATGTTTTACGATGTTACGCCGATCTCGGATAATCAAATGATTTGATTTCCCTGACAACCGTCATCATTAATTTCTTAATTTTATATTAATACTGCGGGGAAAACTGTCCCGCTTCCCAATATTTCCGAGGCGGTCTTCCATCTTACTTTGGGTTCTTAAGAGGTAATATTTCTTTCCCCTCTTATCTTCTTTACCTAGAAAAATTTTCACTCTTATTACAGAGATTGTTGTTTCCTTTCGGTAAATCCACTTTCGTAAAATGTCGAACCTTCCTTCTGAAATCCGCGAGTATGAGGTTGAAGATCTCGAAGCTTTTATGGGTGAAGAAACCGAACCTCATATCCAAACTGGAGATGGGTTTGATCTTCACCCTCAGAGTCAATCGACCGTTGATTCTCTTAATGATCTTCGCCGACTATGCCACATTCCCCCCGAAGTGGAGATGGTGGTCCCGGAGCCCTACGAGTCTCCGGAGTCGGGGCGAGAGGGTTATTGCTGCGCCTATGAAATTTACTTCAAAGGGTGCGGCTTGTTCTTTCCCCTTCCCGAGATACTTCTCGTTTACCTTAATCATCTGAGGATTGCCTTCTCTCAGATGTCGCCCAACATGCTCCGGTATCTTATGTGTACCTTTACTGTTGCGGCGGAGGCTGGTTACTTGCTGGGACTTAGCGAGCTCTTGGAATTCTTCCAGGCTCGTGAATCCCGAACTTCTGGGTATTATGCCCTTTATCCGATCGCATACCGGAATCTTATTGATGGCCTGCCTTTAAAAGACAACGCCTGGAGGAAGTTTTGGTTCTTCTTCCGTATAGATAATTTTTCTGTTCAGAGTTCTTCTGAACTCCTCCGATTTCGCTGGTCATCGAATTTGGGTAGAAACTAGGACTTAGCTGAATAAGTTTCCTATGTTTATTTCGAACTGCGCTAACATTTTATCGTTTTTCCGCAGGTCCCCAAATTCGGCCAGTTCCTTCTGTTGATTTTTTAAACTTTTACAAGGCCGTCCTGGAGAAGCCAGTTAATTGGAATTTTTTTACTTTAGAGAGAATTCACGGTGCCGGACATTCTGTCAGAATGGGCCTTACTCATCCTGTCGACCCTCCTCCTGCTGAGATTGATCTCTCGAGTTTGAATGCCCGAGATAGGAGAAGGATCAGAGAAGCAGACAAGAACGTCAAAGATCAGATTGGAAAAAACAAGAAAAATGCATCCTCCACCGGGAACGACAAAATCTACCGGAAAACCCTTCTAGTTGACGACGGGTCCCTTGAAGGTTCAAAGTCAATGGCAGTCACCATAAACAATGCTCCTCCCTCTACCCCAGCAGCAGACAACTTGGTCGCTGCCACTGCTGAAGAGGAAGGCCTTACCGGTGATTCTTCTTCTATGAAGAAGAGGAAGGCTGAGAAACTCGAACCCCCGCTCCAGGGACGTCCCAGGAGCACAAGGAAGGACAGAGCCGCTCCTTCAAACCTGTCAATTCCTGAATCTGCTGAAGCTCAAGATGACAACCATGATTCAGGAATTGTTTTAAAGGAACCGCTGGGTTCAGGGATGCTACCCCCCAGACGTCCCCGAGGAAATACCTCTAGGGCTCGATCGTCTCCGAGCTCAGGACTTGTTTCCAGAGCTTCATCCCAATCTGGTAACCTTTAATTAGCATTTTATTACTTGAAATTAATCGACTTTTTAGGAGGCTCAATCCTCACATAAATATCTTTATTCTAGATAAAGAGAAGATTGGGAATATGTTTAGATGTTTCCACACCCGCTTTGGGAAGAAACTTCCGTCTTTTGAGCGGTGGAGGCCTGACATCAAGAAGATGTATATCAGTCATTCATTCCACTCCTCCCAGGTTTGACTATTTGAATCCTTAAACAGCCGATTCTGAAGAATCCTTTTTTAATGCATCTTCTTTTATTAGGCAACTCTGGATGTGAACGGCATCATCAACTATTACGAAGAGGAGCTTGCCAAAGTATCCAAAAAAGCTGTTGTTGCTGAAGGAGAGATTGAGAAACTGCAATCTTCCAGTCGGCCTGTGCAAGAGACTGCTGGCCTCGACTCGGCTCGTCAGGAAGAAATCAAGCGACTCGAGAGATCTGGCGAGGAGACAAAGAAGAATTTGACTGAGACAGAGCAAAAACTAAAAAATGCCCTTGCTGATCATGGCCTTGCGAGAGGTGAGATCGAGCTTCTGAAATCAGAGCTTAGCAAGGTCAAAACAGTTGCTGAGGAGCTTGAACGCAAAAATGAGTCTCTTTCCACACTGAAAGATCAAGATGTTCGCAAGATATCTCATGATGCTCGGAAAGAGGTTAAAGGAGCCGAGCAAAAGTTCCTTCTTGCTGTGCAAGAATTTATCTCTGCGGATAAAGCCTGGAACAAACTTAAA